TATTATTATTATTATTATAACTATAATAAAAAATGCGCACTGCAATTCTAACCAACCACCACTGAAATAAAAAGTCAGAAACAGTAGTTCAAAGGCTGCTACAAGCATAGCAGAAAGCTATATATCTAATTACTGTTACCAACCATAATGATTTTTTAAAAATGTACTGGGCAAGCACAGAGTCAAATGACACTCTTGTCCTCTTCAGTTTGTTTCCAGTTCATGATCAATAGATTCATTTTGTCATTCTGTAATGGGAATAGATTCACAATCCATTTCTGGCATTACTTCATGAAAGAGAAGCAGTAGACGCCAAGAGAAATTTTGTACCTGCATCCAACAATACAAACATCCCGTTTCCTTTAAAAAGGCAATACCTTTATAAGTGTGATGTTGCAGTCCAAATCCAGGGTTGGCAACTCTCTTTTGATTCTTTGACTATGATTTGAGAAAGCTTTTTATACATTTGAAAAAGATAGATACAGGACAAATATTGTTTGAATGGGATGAAAGCCAGTGTGGTGTAGTGGCTTGAGTGTTGGGACTAGGGTCCAGGAGATCAGGATTCAAATCCCCATTCAGCCATGGAAACTCACTGGCTGACCTTGGACATGTCATACTCTCTCAGCCTCAGAGGAAGGCAAAGGCAACCCCCCTCTGAACAAATCTTGCAAAAAAACAACAACCCAGTGATAGGTTCACCTTAGAGTTGCCATAAGCTGGAAAGAAGTGGAGGCACACAACATTGTTTGAATAATTCCTTTTGGCTCTCTGTAGGACAAAGCAAATTACAGAGTGATGATTCTCCATAATCATGTAAATACAGCACCAGCATTTGAAACATTTGCATACTTTCCAACCATTATCAGTATACCTTCCCACCCCACCCTGCCTCAATATTGAATATTGAACATGTTCACCAGTATCCTTTTGATGACTTGCAATGGCATAACAATAATCTATTATACTGGCATAAGGCACTTTTTTGAATAGGAGTAGTGACAACATTCCCCTCCCATTATCATAGTGCCATTTATCCTCTGCTGCCATGTTGACATCTCCAGCCCGGCTGTCTCCTATGTCAGTGTAGTTTGGCTGATACAGTCATGACAATAAACCCTCCAATCCTTTCATGACAGATGAAAACCAGGAGACATGTAGCCAAGAAATATCAGAGTGTGATCAAGATGGTAAAAGTTATAAATGAGAAAGAACACAAAAACTAGGAGCGGCTGCAGCAGTTTGCTTTTACCAGAGCTTACTGGGAAGGTCAAGATTCTGCTTTCTTCTCTCCTCCCTGCTAGATTAATTGAGGACAAACTACTTTTGCATTCTGAAACCATTTGCAGCACCTAAAAGAAGCTGAGGACAAAGGGGGAAAGTGGGAGGAGGAGAGATAAACTGGGGCATTTTAAAAGCATCTGAAAAAAATGGATGCAAGAGGATTAATCAGGATTTTTCCTGCCAAATTGGGACAGTTGAATGCTATGTGACTAAAGCCTGTTTAAATGTCAGTGTTCTTCATGGAAGGTGAGCAGACCATGGTGTCGTAAATATCCTAAAGCATGCTCTAAATCTTACTGTTAGTTTCATCTTCAATAGAAGCAGTTAAATAGAAGCAGTTAAATCTGTTGGTTTTAACCATGTAGTGACTCACTTCTATTCAGCTAGTAACTGAATGGGTCTACTGTAGTTGGGACTAACCAACAGGGAAAAATGTGTTTCCCTAAGCCATTCTGTCTGTCCAGCTCACACTGCAAGGGGATGTTCAAGTAGAGTATGCTACTGTTGCAAGGTCTGCAAAATGTTTTGTTCTTTTTCTGGTAATGCACAATCTGGAAATATTGCAACATTGCACTTTTACAACACTTACAAATGTAGTATACAAAAAAATATACTCAATGCTGCCCAGGCTGATTTTGCTGATTACACTTATGATTTGAATGGAAAAAAGGTCGCTGCTACAATTCTGAAAATCTGTTTCATACCAAGTCCCAGTGAAAATAGTCCCCCCCCCCAAAAAATGAGCATTTAAAACATCCATAGTTGTTCTTGTTTCTGCTGCTGTTGTGTACCTTCAAGTTGTTTCTGACCTGTGGCAACCCTATATATCAAGAGGGTTTTTTTTTTGCCAAGTTTCTTCAGAGGGGGTTTGCCATTGCCATCCTCTGAGGCTGAGACAGTGTGACTTGCCCAAGGTCACCCAGTGAGTTTACATGGCGAAACTGCAATTTGAATCTTGGTCTCCAGAGTCATAGTCCAATGCTCAAACCACTACACTAACATTTATCAATGATTCCTGAACTTGTACAGTTTATTGTACATCCTGGATGAGGATGCCGACCTGGCTTGCTTCACAGAGACCTGGCTGGGGGACGACAGCGCTGCTATATGGGCGCAGACCCTCCCAGCCGGGTACTCTGTTAGTGAGCAGGTGAGGGGAAGTGGGCGGGGGAGTGGCGGAGTGGCTCTGGTTCACTTTTTTGGGACAATTTGATTTTTGTCTTGGAAGGATTTGACCTGAAACTTGATTGAGACAGTCAAGTTGCTTGACCAGGATACCTGATACACAGCCCATTTCGAGTTTATGTACCTTAGCCTGAAGACCAGGGATA